GCAAACCCAGCATTTGAGCTTATGGTAAGTTTTTCTCCTCCTCCTTAACTTTGTCCTGTACCAAATATGGTGATGGGGTTTGTGTTTTTGGCAGGAATCAGAGACAAATGGAGTGAAGGAGGTCAAGATTTCACCTAAAAATGGAGATAGGATGGTAGGTTTTTCTTCCTCTCCTTAGCTTTGTACTTCGCACGTTCCTCAAAGATGGTGAATTGGGTCTGTGTTTTTGGCAGGAATCAGAGACAAACGGAAAGGAAGCAACATCTCTTGAGTTTGGGGAAGAAAATCCTGTGCAGGACAGTCGTTTCGGGAGGTACTAAATATGAATGACCAAAGAAATTCAGTGACGTTATTTCAGCTGGATGGTCAACTGTTGTTTAATATTATAAGATCCTCAGATGCTCCCCTTCTTAGAACTGCTGTTGTGTGTAAACCCGTATAGATTGACAGCCCCAATCTGAGATCCCGGTTTGTCTTTTCACCCCAACTTTTGCAAGGAAGAGCAAAGTATTACCTCTCAGAAATGACACAGAAATATGACAGCTCCTCTGGATATTGTCCGTTATTATTAACTATCGTTTGTACGCTGCTCCATTTCCAGAAATTCTGAGCTGTTTACTGTATCAATGTAGTGAGACTTTAAAAGAAAAGAAGAAGAAGAATGAAGTCATGGGGTTAATCAAGATGATGTGGTCCCATATGGAAAAAGCCTGATTTTATTCATCCTTAAAGGTCTTTGCGGAAAGCTTGTTTTAAAGTCTCCAAATATGTTACAAGGATGGGCTGAACCAGATCTTTGGAGGTTAAGCTATTATAGCAGGGGTCTTCAAATGTGGCAACTTTCAGATTTGTGGCTTCAGTTCCCAGAATTCCTCAGCCTACCTGGCAGAGGAATTCTGGGAGTTGAAGTCCACAAGTCTTAAAATTGCCAAAGTTTGGAGACCTCTAAAATTACACAGTAGGGACAGGGCTATGAAGGGCTGATTCAGAGTCTCTGAAGTTGACAATTCACTGGTGATGGGATCTTTAGCTACCTGTCTCATCAAGATCTAAATAAATCAGATTCAGCTTGCAGAACACAGTCACCGAGCTATACGGGCAATCTCTAATCTAATAAATATCTAAAATAGGACTTCGCAAAATGATGTCTAACATCCCTTCTAGATGCCCTTTAACGTTGATTTTATTGATGTGCTTTTCAGCAGGTTCAAGAACGTGACTCAACCTTTCTCTAAAGTAAAGGGATTTTGCAAGGCTCATCGCGAATTACTCCACAAGCTCTTCTTAGGCATCTTATGTGCAGGTCAGTCTTTCACTCTCTGGTCGAAAATGGCGATCCACATGACCACAGGAAATTGCAACTGTTATAAATACAAGTCAGTTGCCAAGTGCCTGAATTTTGATGGCATGATCGTGGAGAGCCTTCTGATGGCTGTAAGTGCAAGGGTTGCTTGCAAGTCCCTTTCTTTTCCAGTGGCATTGCAATTTTAAATGGGTCACTAAATAAATGGTCATAAACTGAGGACTACCTATATTCGAGCCAGTGCTGGAACTTCTGCCTCAAACCTTTGAGAATGGCACCGGTCTAAATGAGGTATAGGGACCAGCTGAACCTAATTTGCAGCGGTTTCTGATGACTTAAGACCTTGGGCTGTTTGATGCTTTGATGTCTTGACGTTGAATGCCTTGAGCCTTGGTGGTGCATTGGTCAAAAGGCAGTATTGCAGGCTAACTCTGCCCGCAGCCAGGAGTTCGATCCTGACTGGCTCAAGGTTCACTCAGCCTTCCATCCTTCCGAGGTTGGTAAAAATGAGGACCCAGATTGTTGGGGACAAGACAGAGGCTGACTCTGCAAACCGCTTAGAGATGGCTGTAGAGGACTGTGGAGTGGTATATAAATCTAAGCGTTGTTGCTATTCTCATTTTAGGCTATCTGGCCTACTTCATTGCTGCTTGTTACCTGGACTACCAACGAGCCTTGGCACTGATCATTTTAACAAGCCTGGTCCTTGCTTTCCTGGTTTATAGCTTCGTCAAAAAAAATTGGGGAGCCAAGATTATCCAAAGGTTGAGACCCTGCAGGAAATGCTGTCAGAAGGCCTGGCCGTGGTTGAAATGGTAAGAGGCTGACTGGCTGCACAGATCCGTTTTATGGTCAGGTCTTGTTCAAGAAGCCATGGTGAGCCAATCTTCACTCCACTCCTTTGGATAGCAGAGCATTTTTAGAACATTGAGCTGGTGGTTGGGTTGGGTGATCATAGGTGACCCATGATCATGGTGGAATAAATACAGTGCAATGCAATACACAACACAACACAATGAAATAAATAATATAAGTGACTCTGGACTCTGCCCAGGATCCTCAGCCAGGCAAGTAGAATATAAATATCAATATTGTGGAAAGTAAGATGAGATAAATTAAGTATTACAATAAAGACTTTTCTTATATCCCAACCTATTATCTTTTGTCGTCCCCTCCTTTCCCCCTTATCAAGGCTTATCAAGAGTGTATATTTAATAAATGGCTTATTGTGGATGTATATTTAATCACGCCGATATTATTATGTTTCCCTTGGAATTTTCTAGGGTTTTGTGCGCCGTTCTTCTAATTGCTTTGATCACATGGCTGGCTCTGGACATGTCCCAAAGGAAAGAACAGCTGGTCTCACTGGGTGGCTTCTGTGTGCTCATCTTCTTGTTATTTCTCTTCTCCAAGCATCACATGGCGGTAAGCACCATCATTGGTTTTTTGGTTGTTGTTTTTTTGGTTTGGTATCTTAAACCTAACCAAGATTCAATAGAATAGGTCTTTGTCTTTTGCTACTGCTACTTTCTTCACTCTGCCTCCAGTTCCACTTCACAGAGCAGTCGATAAATTCTCCATGATGTTGGCTTGGGTAGAAGTCACTTGTTCATTGAAGACAGTCAATTGTTTCTCTGGAAACAATTGGTTTGATCTGCAGCATTAAGGAAAGTTTGAGTTAAGGCGACGCTGAGCGCTGATTGATTTTTTCCAATCCTCTATTTGACTGCCTTTGCTTCTTCGGCTACTGAATGTATATGGAGATTCTCAGTCCTCCATGATTGTCCCAAAAGTGCTTTTCCAAAAGTGAGGCAGGTTTTGTTTTTCCTTTGAAGACCTTTCGCTTCTCATCCAAGAAGATTCTTCAGCTCTGACAAAGAGTCCAAGAAGCTTCTCGGATGAGAAGCGAGAGGTCTTCAAAGGAAAAACAAAGGCCAGTTACCTTTTGAAGGAGCTTTTGGGACTTTGTCTACCTAGTACCAGAGATCAATGTGGTTTAACCTCAAGGCTTCGATCCAAGTGTGGGTTCCTACCTGTTCCACTACTGGTTCAGGGATCATGCGTGCGTGTGGACCTAACACATGTGCACCTAACAGCTTTCCCCACACCAGCTGAGGTCTACAGCACCAATCAGCTGAGAGGATAAAGAAGAGAAAGGTGCAGGGGCAAGTTGGAGGGATGATTCTGCCTTTTATCTTCTTACTCCTCTCAGCTGATCATCGGAGGGTTTTTTTACTACTGGTTTTGGTGAACCGGTCTGAACCGGTAGCATGCCACCACTGCTTCCGTCTCTCCAATGTGCAAATCTTCTATCTCTCGTGGCTCTCCAGAAGATGTTCACAAAATGTCCTGGATTGCAGGTACCCTGGAGTGCTGTGTTATGGGGCCTTGGTCTACAATTTGCCCTTGGACTTTTCATCATCCGAACGGAACCTGGATTTCAGGCTTTCCAATGGATGGGCAATCAGATTCAGGTACGGTGGAATAACGTTTGAAGGCGTTATATCCCATGTTCCTCGGGGACAAAAATCCCCACCTTACAAGTCACACGTCCACTAGCTTCGGTTCAGAAAGATCCCACGGGAACCATTAGCCAAATCAACTGTTTGGTTTGACCCAAGACAATGTCCAGCTTAGGATGACCAAATCTAGTGGGGAAGGAGAAGGCTTCGACCGATTTTCCAGCAACGAGGACAATGATTTTGAGTGGCTATTATGATTATCATTGACTTTGCACTTGAGCTTCTGTAGATCCAAAGGCTGCTAAAATGATCAGGGATCCTTCGTGTTGAATCGCAGGTTGTGCCATCATTTTTTTAAAAAGTTGTTCTGACCCAAGCCTTGTTCAAAGCAAACAAACGCCAAACAGAGATAAGAGCAAACGCTTTTTAATGCCTCTCTGTGAATTCTGTTGCTTCACGCTTAAAAGGCTATTAAAACTAATTGTCTCTGATAAGAACAAGCCTTGCCAAGGTTGTGCAAGGCTGCCAAGAACACCAGATTAAATTGCAAGGAAATAATCAAAACCAAAAGTCTCCAAACACAATTCAGGAGAGTCTGAACTTCCACAAGACTTGAAGTGCAAAAACGTCTTTGCTTCCTGCAAAGAATCCCATCTCCGAGGGCTGGCTTTTATCCCTTAAGGGAGGGGCCATTACTTGCAGCCTTACTCTCGAGTTGCCCATGCTGCTGCAGCTGCTCTTTCCTTTGAGCAGCCCTGTGTGCATGCACACTTGGCACAGGCTCCTCGGAGATCTCTTCATCACTGCTGCCAGCCTCCACAATCTCCGTGATGGTCCTGGCCCCATCCCTGCATCACAGGCAGGCCCCTCATCCGAGTCCTCGCTCTCTGAGGCCTCAGCCATCCACACCTGCTGCCAGCGAACCACAACAAAAATGAACATGACTCTATTTCCAAACATTCCTTCTAACGTTGTTTCCCTTACAGGCATTTCTCAACTACACGACGGCAGGATCCAGTTTTGTCTTTGGAGATAAACTGATTCAAGAAATTTTTGCCTTTCAGGTGAATTTAGATAAACATATTCTCCCTCTCCTCCTCTTTCTGGTCCCCGTTTTCTCTTGATCTCCTTCTTGAAGGTCTTAAAAAATGGCTTCCCAGCTGCCTTGCCCAGGTCTTTGATTCTTTGTGCTGGGGTGAAAGATGGAGGGGACACCTCGGCTGGGTTCATTCTGTGTCCTTTCCTCTGTCCACTGCTTCTGTCAATGAGGGAGTGACAAGAAAGCATCACGCCCAAAGATCCTCCAAACAGGATGGGAGCAACTTGCTTTCTTCCCAAATTGGACAGAGCAGATCAGGAAGTGGTTCCTTCACATTGTTTTCTGCCCAAGCGGTCCATCAATTTGCAGATGTGTTTTTGAACACTTGTGTCAGGGTTCCGAGGATTGCCCTAATTAAACCATGAGCCTCAAGCCAAGCTTCAAAAGCATTCAAAAGATTTAATAGGAGCAACATATCCGGCACTAACCCCGTACGAAGCCAACTCTGAGACACGTAATTTACTATCACCTATGACCCTGTTCCCTCACCCAAGCCGTGTGTCATATATCAGATTCTCCAACGAAACACATTCCAGGCTGGGTGTCATCAATCACGCTCTCCAATGAAAGATTTTCCCGGGCAGAAGATCCAGTAGCCTAGGCTACAATCTCCGCAAGATAAGCGTGGAATGTGCTTCATCCGCCATATTGCTCCGTCAGACCTTTCTCCCCCTCCTTCTAATGTCAACTTGGGAACAGGCAAGAAGAATGATTTACGAGTTGACAACTTAGTCTGTTCAGGCTGCCCCATGTTTTACTAGCAACCTAAGTTTATTCTGATGGAATTTTTCCAATGCTTCAAACTCCGCAACTACCACATGACTTCTCTCTATGAGGGTGTGTTACTTTCCTCCAATTATCCTGTATCATTAATCATATTGGCTAGGGTGGATGGGATTTGTCATTCAGCAACATCTGGAAAGCTGCAGCTCCGTGCTAAAGCTGTCTACTGTTCTATTCTGTCTCCAGGTACTGCCTATTATTATCTTCTTCAGTTGTGTGATGTCCATCCTCTACTACTTGGGAGTCATGCAGTTTATAATCCTGAAGGTAAGGCTGAGTTTTAGGAATTCAAGAGTAAGCTTATAATTGTCCTAATGGAGCTAAACGGTATATTGATCACCCATATATACCATACGCCTGGCCATGAGGCACCCGGAAAGGCCAAGATACGTTATAAGGTACCCAAAGAGAGTAATATTACTTCTTCTGCTATTAGGAAGTACTAACAGAAGGGACACAACACGATAATTTACAAGGAAAGAGTTTATGGTGAAGCACAGAGTGCAAAACAAAAAGTTGCGTTGCCAAATCAATGGGGGTATCAGAGATTGAAGAAGAGAGAGAAACATGGAAGATGCTACTTCTCAAAATGATGAGAAGAGAGCACCACCACGAGATGAGGGCAACACAGGTAGTGGGGTTAATTCTGTTGACTGCGTCCTCTCTGTGGACTTAATTTCAAGTCAGACCCCACTGCTCCATTTATGTCACAGTGTAGACCAGGGGTCTCCAAACGTGGCAACTTTAAGACTTGGGGACTTCAATGCCCAGAATTCCTCAGCCAGCTTCTGGGAGTTGAAGTCCCCAAGTCTTAAAATTGCCAGGGTTGGAGACCTCTGGGTGTAGACCGACCTTCTGGAAGAAGCTTTCATGGAAGAACCTCCGACTGAGATGTATCAGAATTTGGACCAAAGGTTCTGGAACGCAAATCATATGCTTGTCACTGAGCTACGGCCCGAATAGCTAAGGATATCTCATTGCTGCGAGACTGGCAAATGAATCAGCAAGATATTAAATCTAGGATATTCTGGGCAACGACCATTAAGCTGCCAATGTCCTCCAACTCACACTCTCCAACTTTCTTCCAACAGTTGTCCTGGCTCCTGCAAATCACAATGGGCACAGCGGCCACCGAAACTCTGAGCGTGGTGGGGAATATATTTGTGGGGATGGTAAGTGATCTTGACCTTCCTCCATGAATCTCCATGAATGGTCCTCTCCATCTTCTCCTCTCTGTACAAGAGAGGCAGCAAACTTCCGTTCTGATTTCTTTCTGTTTTTCATTTTCCAAAGCTGTTTTGCTTCTGCATTTGAGAATAGTCTCCTTTCTCCCCCGCCAATTTGTGTGTATGTGTGTGTGGAAAATTGCTAGGAAAAGGGGTACATACTTTTGAGTGCATTTCTCTGAATATGTGCGTCTTTGCCTGTTTCTTCGATGTAATCTTTCTTCCTTTTATTCTGCTTTGCAACACTTAAAGAAATGCAGAAGGTAGAACTAGCTAATGTTTGGATTATATTTTGGTTCTGAGGTGCAAAAACAAGGTATGTTTGCATTCCAATGAATTTCTCTTCCATTTCTTTGTAATGTGAAACAATTCACAAAATCTGGACACTTTCTTTCTCACAGTTTATTCCAGAACTCCAGTATTTTATTCTCCTGGGCTGTGTGTTTAAGCAGAACATGGAACCATGCTATCTACTTGTTGTTTCTGACTAATAGAAATCTGAGACATATTTCTAGGGTCTGCAGAGATCTTGAAAAAAATCTATTTGGATTTATCTTTTGTCCTCCAGACCGAAGCACCATTGCTCATCCGTCCCTACCTGGGGGATATGACACGCTCAGAAATCCATGCTGTGATGACCGGTGGCTTTGCTACCATTGCTGGTAGTGTGATGGGCGCATACATTTCATTTGGGGTGAGTCTGATGAAATATGATGTCCGTTCAGTTAAATCTAAGGGCCAGGTGTCTCCACATCTTCCAGTCTTGAACGACCTTCTTTGAGTTGTTCTATGCTGTGGATTGTGCCAGCTTTGATGGTGAGGATGAGTTTAGTGTATATATATATATATATATATATATATATATATATATATATAAAAGCAAAATACCACTCACGCATCATCACAAAATCTCCAGAACTGTAAAGCCTACAAACTTGAAATTTGGCACGTATGTTCCTTTTGGCTTTTAGGTGCTCACTTTTCAAAATGACCATCAGAGCATTAGTATTTCGTATATTGTTATTAACACGCTCTGATGCTAAGGAGTTCTAGTCCCTCTCCCCACCTGAAAAGAAATATCTTCCAAATGCAAAACACAGAGGAGAGGAGTATCAGTTTTGGTTTTAGGTTCACAGCAACAAACAGCTTTAGTACAGAACAGTTGAGCTAAGCCACGCCCAGGCTACTTGCTGTCTTCTTCTTGCTCACACAGCAAATACTGTTTCAGTTTCCTTGTTTCAGTTTCCAAACAGCCCTCAACTTTCTCACACACTGACAGGACGCTAGTCAAATGAATACCGATGGATGCTGGTAGGCAGAGGCAGAAATTTTTCCCCTTATTTTCCTCCCCAAAGTCTAAGCCTGATCACATAGTTTTGTAGCGAAGCATGGGTATCCAGCTAGTAAGAAAATAAATATCAACAGCTGAGTCAAGAGGGGAAATTCTTGTACAGCAGCATTTTCTGTTGCACAAATGATATGGAATTATCGTAGGTATCATGGCAGATTAAACACACTTGGGTGTTTTTCTGAACCAGGCTGTTTGACTGCCTACAGGTTCAATATTGGGACATACTTTAGGTCCTTCCTAAGTGTAGGTCGTGGAGTGAATTTCATTTAATCAGATGAAGGCATTTGATCGGGCCAAATGGGAATTGGATGAAGATTCAGAGGACTTGGGTTGGAGTAAACAACTTTTTTAAAAAAATAATTTTTATTTTTTAAACCAACATACACAAACAAAAAATAAAACATAAAACCATCTTCCAGTTACATACAGTGTGTTGGTTGGTTACAAGTCTTTTATGCTTCATCTCCATAGTCCTCACATATAATTTGTATAAATTCTCATGTTATCCATCTAGTATGTGTGTGTGTGTGTGTGTGTGTGTGTAATCATAGTTAATAATAATATATTTGACTATAACTATTATTCCATCATTTTATGCGAGATATTCAACATTTTAGATTTATTTATATTATAACATTCATTACCTCATCATAAATCCATCCAATAATAATACATCCTTATGTTATATTATCTATAATTCTATTATCCTTATATTGTGAAATTCTCTAAAATACAGTATTTCATTTCCATATTTTTAATCTAACCATTGATAAAATAAATCCCATATCTTGTAATAGTGTTTGTCTTCTTGTTCTCTAATTTCAAATGTCAATTTACTCATTTCAGCACATTCCAATATTTTCTTAATAACTTCTTCCTGCATTGGTATTTTCTCATTTTTCCAATTTTTAGCGAATACAATTCTAGCCGCTGTTAATACATTTACAATCATGGAGTAAACAACTTTTGACAAAGCCAATTTACTTGGACTATTACTGCAACTCAGTTTAAGGCTAGATATTATTTTATCTTTATAGTCCAGACTTTGGTCTGAGTTGTTTTATCAGGGGAATGGGGGAGGAAATTGTAGCAAAAGGCCGTTTTGTGATGTGTGATTTGGTATTATCAGTATCATATTCTAATAAACTGTGTAGGAATCTAGGCAAAATGTATTTCCCAGTCAGCCTTTTGATTAGAACTGATTGGAAGAACGTATAATTATTCCACAGCAAAGAATAATTGCATCATACTTTTTTTAAAACTGTGCTTGGCAAACTTTTAAACTACTGTTTGAAAAGGGAAAGAATCCGCAAAGCTCCAGAGTTAAACCTCTTGGATTAAAAAATACCATACTTGTTGACTCTTCTGTGGCAATTTGTGATTCTTCTTGCAGATCGATGCCTCGTCTCTGATGGCAGCTTCAGTAATGGCGGCACCGTGTGCTTTAGCTATGGCCAAACTTGTCTACCCAGAAGTGGAAAAATCTCGATTCCAAAGCCAGGAAGGCATCAAAATTGCCCGCGGGTGAGAACAGCTAAAATCCATGAGGTTCCCGTGGCTTGTAGGAGGATCTGGGAAGCAGGTTTCAAGGAGGAGGAGGAGGAGAGAAAAGAGGAGAATGTGTCGAGCACAACTGGATGGGGAGAAGGTTGGAGAGATACAAAGGGAAGAAGGTGCAGCCTCAGTTTCCCAGCTGTTTTTACCTGGGCTGGCAGGAGGACCATGGCACAGGTCCCATCAATTAAAGGATGCCATCTCTCTCTGTCACAGTGCCTGCCTTTTGAAACTCCACAGCCTCTGAGTGGAATTAAATTGGCCCTGACTCTGTTAAGCATGGTTTTTTGTTGTTTTTTTCTCAGCACAAATCTCAGTTGTCTAGGAAGGTATGGACAGCAAACAAATTTAAGAGGGAGGGAGGAAGGAAGGAAGGAAGGAAGGAAACAGAGAAGGGAGGAAGGAAGGAAAAAGGAAGGAAAAAGGGAAGGAAAATGGAGAGAGAAGGGAGAGAGGAAGAAAGGAAGATGAAGAGAGAAGGAGGGAAGGAAGGGAGGAAGGAAGGAAGGAAGGAAGGAAGGAAGGAAGGAAGGAAGGAAGGAAGGAA